TGATTTGGTGAAATTGGGTCTGGATTGAGACGGGCGTTTGTTATCCCCTCGTTCATTTGTTATGCTTAATACCACTTCTGGAAATTAAAGACAAGGTACAGGAAGGAAAAAAAAATGTGATTAAGCAATTTGAAATTACCGATCTATCAAGCACCATATGCGTGTCTATGCTTCCGGAAATAGAAAGAGATACAAGTGTGTGTTTGTTCTTTGTGTCAGCTAGAAACATTTATTATAGTTCCTGTCAATAATCCTTCACACTCCCAAAATCTGACAAATTTGACATGAAAAGAAAAGGGGTAGAAATGTAGATGAAAGAATTTCTATAGTTTTGAACATGGTGTTATAAAAAAAATTTAAGGTGGCCCCTCTGTGATTTCTTGTGAGGAATCCTTCATAGGCTAAAGGAAGTTTAGACTAATGCAGTTTGACTGTGGCACAATTGAATTTTTAATTTTTTTTTGCTCTAAGTTTTCATATTTAACTTATCTATGTATATTTCCTGTTGATTATTTTTAGAAATTCTGCTGCATTTTTCTTAGGGGAAAGAATTCCTCTAATGCATTTCTTTACTTTCTTCATTTATCTGTGTTTGTTTCTCAAGCCTTCATGAATCAAACTTTGGTAATTCTAGAAGTCTCATGGAATGCTCCCGTTTGGAGTGACTGAGAAATTCTGTGACTTACAGAGGTGAAGGAGACATTTTAAACCTTTGTTCATATCAGTGTCCTTCTGCTGTAATCCTTGGTGCTCTGGTATTAGGAGGTAGATGTAAATAGAATCTCAGCACCATTCCCCAAAACACTAAGAATTTTCTCTTTATCTTTGGCTCTTAAAAATCAGAACTTTTTTGTTTTGCAGTTTTTGTACTTGGTTTTTCAGTTTTATTGGACTTACAGATTTGTTTCTTCTGCTGCTATGAGTACTTTCCATGGAGCTTCCAGGAAGGATAGGAAGGAATGTTCAAAAAGGAAGGAAGGTTAAAACACACACACACACACACACACACACACACACACACACACACACACACACTTATTTGGCCAAATCTGACTCCTAATATACTTAACCAGTTCTAGAATTAGAAAAGTATTTCTGTACGTTTTCTTCTATTTTCTCTCATTTTCCCCCCCTTACGTAATGAAATTAAAACTTTTGGAGCCCACAGTTGACATTTTTCAGAAAATTGAGTTATCAAGGCAGTAATTATTTCACGGGGAGATAAGACTCTCATGGCCCTAACTGTCAAATAGGGCCCTTTTCAGATTTTAATTACAAAATAAAATGAGTCTGCTCTTCCTCGGAATGGTTGGTGAGTGGTTAAACAGAGCTTTCCCCCAATACTGGTGGTCGTCAAACTCGGCTAATTAGCAATGCTGAGAAATTCCAGTTAACAAGGACATTCTCCAAGACTCTGCAGGTTCCCTGCCGTTTGCCTTCATTTCCATAAGAAGATTAAGAGAGGAGGGGAACGCACTCAAATGCAGATGCAGAAAAGGAGCGGTTTTTTAACAAGCATCATAATAGTAAGATGCTTGGCTAGTTCTCACCTAATTACTGCAAGTTAAACCTCTATTTGCCACTAAGCAGAAAAAATAAGTCTACAGTGCTCTATCTCCACAAAATTGTTGGCTTCAGATACAATACTTGAGGAGGCGTAGGGAGAGTTTAGGAGAGAAAAAAATCAATGGGAAAAAAAGATTATTAAATAAAATTAAGTTACACTTAGCAATGGAGGCTTTTTGGCTAAAGCCAATATTAGAACAAATAAATTCCGAATGTTCCAGGAGTATGCATTTTGTTCCTGATTACCAATATTGCTCTAAAAGTGTGTCGCTTTTTTGCCTCCCATGAAGGCAAGTGTTACATTCTCTTTAGATTAAGCCCTTCCAATTTTTATAAATGGTGCCAATGGCAACATTTTCAGTTCTCGGAGGATGAAGCACCCTATTCCAAGTCTTTTTTTTTTTTTTTGATTGTCTAGTAGTCAGTGGTGAACTGTAGTCATCTATTATAAACCTTAAACAGGATTGTTTCTGTCATCTGTTGGGATTATTTTTATAGTTATTATATTTAGGGGCATTGATGGGGCTGGGTTGAAATTGAGTAGTCAGTGATCAGATTTTTTTAAATGAATGTGAAAAAATTGTTTCAGCTATCACCATCTTTAATCTTCTTTTCATAGCACATTATTATGCACAAACTTCAGCCACTGTTAGTTTATTGCCTTGATAAGTACGACAAGCTTAATTAAAATAAAGCTGTAAATAAACGCAACCAATGATAACACAATTGTAATGTATTTCCATAGCTTATTTATACGATAAAGGCAATTAACAAAAGACCTAGCCAGCCCCTTTCCCCTCTTAAATGCATTAGTATAGAGCTCAGGCTGACACAGGCATCTGAGAATGTGTAAACGCTTTTATTTATCATCCCAAGGAAAAAAAATCTGTACGTATTACTATCCCCTCCCCTTGAAAAACAGAGAGATGGGTTTAGGAGATTTGCTTCTATACCATCCATTGTTAACATTTATTTTAATAAATATACACCACCATTAGCCACTCCCACCCCTCTCTTTTTCTTGAAGCTTAATTATCCAAAAGCTTCTTTTTTAAGTTTTCAGAATAATGCCATTAAGCACCGACCACTACATACACAATCATAAAGTGAATGCTTAGATTGCCCTTTGTGGCTCCTGGACAATCATAATTCATTCATATGGTGAATCTCATAATTTGTACCTATTTTTTCCCTGTAGTTCAACCTCCCACTTATCTCGAGGTTGTATGTACATTTCTAAGTTAAGCAAATTAAATTTGATTCTTATGATTTGGTACCACTGCTTATATGATATGTTAACTTTTCTTTTGTTTAGATTATGTGTAATTAGTTTGATCTTCCATCCCCCTCATTTTTTTTCCTTCTTACTTTAATTATTTCCACACACCTTCTTTTAAAGGTAAAAGCAACAATCTTGGAAAGGCGAATCCACCAGCAGGGGGCGCACCAGCCACATCCCTGAAACCAGCTGCGAAGAAAAGTCGGTGGCCGCCTTAAATTAAACCCTCCAAATTTTTTTCCACCTTTTTTTCCCCCCTAATCTCCCGAGATACGTGTTTAGCTTAACATTACACCTCGGATACGCAGAAAACACGGTTTTATTTTCAAGAGAACATAATACATACGCGTTTCGAAAAGGCCAGTCTCCTCCTTTCTAGTTCCCAATAACTAAAACAAGCCATAAACTTAAGGGGGGGGGGGGGGAGAAAAAGAGAACTTGCAGACGGGAGGGGGTGATTGACTCGAAATAATTTAAGTTTACAGGATTCTTTCCCACAACTTTCCTGCCGCTCGGGTCCGCATCTTGACTTTGCGTGTGGCAGCACGGGCAAGCCTGAGAGGGCGGGAATTGGGGGGGGGGGGAGGAGGGGGCCGTCGGGGGAGGTTAGTAAGGTAGCAAAACAATGCGGTCGGTAAAGATAATAAATGGAACGTGGCCGGTAGATACTATTCCGTGCATTTCCTTGGGGTGAGGAAGGGTAGATCAGGGGAAGGGGGCGGACAAGTGTTCCTGGAGAAAATCAGCAACCCCGAGGGTTTGCACCATTTATACACATACATTTCTCTCTCTCTATATTTCTTCATCTACAAACGTATAGATAAAGAAATGGCATCTTTCTCTCCCTCCCCTCCCCCTCCCCCCCTGCTTTGTTGTCAAGTGCATTTTAGGCACAAAGATCCCAACAAGAGAGTGGAAGGAAACTTAGACGGGGCTTTGTTTGACTCCGTGTAGCGACAACAAGAGAAACAAAACTACCTATTTGTAACGGACGCGGTGCCATTGCTCCGGGCTTTGAGCGCCTACCTATTGAGATCTTTACGTCGGGACAATGGGAGCGCGGCTAAAGTGACCCTCTTGGGTCCCGGGCGGGCGGGACTCCTGCGCCCCCGCCCCCCGCCCGCCCTCCCGGGGGCGCCCTGCACCTGTGCCGGCCCCGCGCCCGCCCCGCCCCCGGCCCCCCGGCCCGCGCCGCCCCCGCTGTCCCGGGCGGCAGGGGAAATGCCAGGGCGAGCTGTGCCCGGATCCTGGGAACTCTGCGTGGGAGGGAGCCGAGCGCGGCCCAGATGCCACCTCCGCGAGGCCGTGGGATGCCAGGAAGTTGACGTTACTCTCCCGCCCCCGCCGCCCGCACTTTCTGAGGCCCGCACCGCCGAGCCCCCCTCTCGGGGAGGCGGGGGCGCTCGGGGGAGAACCGGGGAGAGTGCCAGCGTGGCCTGGGCTCGGCCCGAAGGCAGACCACGGTGGTTTCCTGGGCCACCGAGCTGGGGGGCGGAGAGGGGGGGAGCTCGGCCAGGCCCAGCGCGCGCCCTGGGCCAGCCGCGCGCGGGATGCAGGCGAGGGAAGGACGGGGAGCCCGAGTCCGCGGGGGCTGCCAGGCCGGAGGTCTGCGTCTGACTGCTCGGCGGGCCGGCGCTCGGGACCCCTCGAGGGCCCGGGAGTCGGAGAGCGGGTCGGGTGGGGGGGGACGAGGACGCACATCAACTCCTGAGCTGCCTGTTTCCTCCAGTGCCCGCTGGACAGTCGCCCTGAGCTGAGCCATCCGGTGCGCCCTCCGCTCCCGCGCCCCGGTCCCCATTTCAGCACCAAAAAAAAAAAAAAAGTAAATCAATATTAAGTTTCAAGGGGGGGGCACGTAGTCTTAGTGCTGTTTACCCACTTCCTTCGAAAAGGCGTGTGGCGTGACCTGTTGCTGCGAGAGGGGATACAAAGGTTTCTCAGTGGCTGGCAGGCTGGCTGTGGGAGCCGCCTCTCCCCCCCCCCCCCCCCCCCGACCTCCCCTCCCTCCCCCCCGCCTCCCGCGCGGCCGGCGGCGCGGCAGGCCCCGCCCCCTTTCATGCAAAACCCGGCGGCGAGGCCGGGCTCGAGTGGAGGAGCCGCCGCGCTCTGATTGGTCGCTAGAAACCCATTTATTCCCTGACAGCCCCCGTCACATGGATGGTTGTCTATTAACTTGTTCAAAAAAGTATCAGGAGTTGTCAAGGCTGAGAAGAGAGTGTTTGCAAAAGGGGGAAAGTAGTTTGCTGCCTCTTTAAGACTAGGACTGAGAGAAAGAAGAGGAGAGGGAGAGAAAGGAGAGAAGTTTGAGCCCCAGGCTTAAGCCTTTCCAAAAAAATAATCATAACAATCGTCGGCTGCGGCAGGACCCGCCGGAGGAGGAGGGAAGCGCTTTTTTTTTTTTTTTTTTTTTTTTGGATCTTGATTCCAGTTTGCTTCGCTCTCGCGCTCTCTCCCGCTCGCTCGCTCTCTCTTTCCCCCCCAATTCTTCGTCTGATTCTTCTCGCGGAGCCCTGCGCTCCCGAACCCCCCGCCCGCCTCCCCTCCTCTCCTCCGCCACCCTCCCCCCGCCCGCGGGCCCCCCAAAGTCCCGGCCGGGCCCAGGGTCGGCGGCCGCCGGCGGGCCGGGCCCGCGCACAGCGCCCGCATGTACAACATGATGGAGACGGAGCTGAAGCCGCCGGGCCCGCAGCAAACTTCGGGGGGCGGCGGCGGCGGCGGCAACTCCACGGCGGCGGCGGCGGGCGGCAACCAGAAGAACAGCCCGGACCGCGTCAAGCGGCCCATGAACGCCTTCATGGTGTGGTCCCGAGGGCAGCGGCGCAAGATGGCCCAGGAGAACCCCAAGATGCACAACTCGGAGATCAGCAAGCGCCTGGGCGCCGAGTGGAAACTTTTGTCGGAGACGGAGAAACGGCCGTTCATCGACGAGGCCAAGCGGCTGCGCGCCCTCCACATGAAGGAGCACCCGGATTATAAATACCGGCCCCGGCGGAAAACCAAGACGCTCATGAAGAAGGATAAGTACACGCTGCCCGGCGGCCTGCTGGCCCCCGGCGGCAACAGCATGGCGAGCGGGGTCGGGGTGGGCGCCGGCCTGGGCGCGGGCGTGAACCAGCGCATGGACAGCTACGCGCACATGAACGGCTGGAGCAACGGCAGCTACAGCATGATGCAGGACCAGCTGGGCTACCCGCAGCACCCGGGCCTCAACGCCCACGGCGCTGCCCAGATGCAGCCCATGCACCGCTACGACGTGAGCGCCCTGCAGTACAACTCCATGACCAGCTCGCAGACCTACATGAACGGCTCGCCCACCTACAGCATGTCGTACTCGCAGCAGGGCACCCCGGGCATGGCGCTCGGCTCCATGGGCTCGGTGGTCAAGTCTGAGGCCAGCTCCAGCCCCCCCGTGGTTACCTCTTCCTCCCACTCCAGGGCGCCCTGCCAGGCCGGGGACCTCCGGGACATGATCAGCATGTACCTCCCAGGCGCCGAGGTGCCGGAGCCCGCCGCCCCCAGCAGACTGCACATGTCCCAACACTACCAGAGCGGCCCGGTGCCCGGCACGGCCATCAACGGCACACTGCCTCTCTCGCACATGTGAGGGCCGGACAGCGAACTGGAGCAAGGTGGGGGAGGATTTTCAAAGCAAAGCAAGGGATTTTAAATGGGAGGGGTGCAAAAGAGGAGAATTAGAAACAGCATGGGAAAAAAAAATCCTGGTAACGCTCTAAAGGAAAAAAAAAAAAAAGTCTCATCACTTACAGCAAATGACAGCTGCAAAAGAGAAGAGCAATCCCATCCAAACTCACGCAAAACCCGCGAAGCCGACCAGAAAACTTTTATGAGAGATCCTGGACTTCTTTTGGGAGGGGGGGGGGGACTATTTTTGTACAGAGAAAACCGGGGGTGGGTGAGTGGGGAGGGCGGGGGAACGGACCTTGTATAGATCTGGAGGAAAGAAACTACGCAAAACTTTTTAAAAGTTCTAGTGTTACGGTAGGAGCTTTGCAGGAAATTTGCAAAAGTCTTTACCAATAATATTTAGAGCTAGTCTCCAAGCGACGAAAAAAATGTTTTAATATTTGCAAGCAACTTTTGTACAGTATTTATCGAGATAAACATGGCAATCAAAATGTCCATTGTTTATAAGCTTGAGAATTTGCCAATATTTTTCGAGGAGAGGCTTCTTGCTGAATTTTGAGTCTGCAGCTGAAATTTAGGGACAGTTGCAAACGTGGAAAGAAGAAAGTTATTCAGATTTGGACATTTTAGTTTTAAAATGGCACAAAAGGAAGAAAAAAATTAGAATAAGTACTGGCAAAACCATCTCCCTGGTCTTGTTTTAAGGGCAAAAGTTTTAGATTGTACTAAATTTTTTAACTTACTGTTAAAAGTAAAGAAAAAAAAATATGGCCATGCAGTTTGACATCGTTGGTAATTTATAATAGCTTTTGTTCAATCCCACCTTTTCATTTTGTCCAGATTAAAAAAAGAAAACGACCTGAGATTACTGTGTTTGAAATATTTTCTTATGGTTTGTAATATTTCTGTAAATTTATTGTGATATTTTAAGGTTTCTCCCCCTTTTATTTTCCGTAGTTGTATTTTAAAAGATTCGGCTCTGTATTATTTGAATCAGTCTGCCGAGAATCCGTGTATATATATGTGAACTAATACCATCCTTATAACAGGTACATTTTCAACTTCAGTTTTTACTCCATTATGCACAGTTTGAGATAAATAAATTTTTGAAATATGGATACTGAAAATATGCTTGAGTCTTTCATTTATTTGGATAACACCGATTATACATGTCCTTTGGGGGAATTATACTGTGTTCAGCCATGGAAGCAAAATGCCAAGAAACCTTGGTATGACCAGGAACATGTGCAAACATTAACTGCAGAGAGAAAGATGGCTAAGTGATTATTGATGTGCACCCTTGGGGAAAAAAATTGAAATGCGTATTCTAGTTTCTATTCTAGAAACTAGAGGCCTTTATTGTAAACCCACCCCCTCCTTTTCTAAGCAGCAATGAATGAGCATGATGGGGACTTAGATTTAAACTAATTTGTACCACTTGTTGCCAGAAAGGAGTCAATTCTGAAAATTTTCATCTAGCTTAGCAGATGAGGTATTGAGCCAGATCACAACCAGGTTGGCTAGTTTTGTTTTCATTTTCTTCACAGCACAATGGCCCTTTGAAACCTGGTTATGGGGGGAAATGATGCTTTTTGTATGGTATTGGAATAATTGCAAAGTAGACACGGCAAAGGGTTCCTCGGCTGGGAGGGTGTCTAGATGGTTCTGGCCCTGCTATTGTCTACGAGGAAACAAGTGGTTTGCTTCCTTTGTTCCTTGACTTCTTAAACTTTCTCCTACATTTTGCTGTTTAGGGGCAAGGGAAAGCAAAGAACGTCTTGCAAAAACTCCCCGACTTATCACCGATATAGTTTATATATATATATTATTTATTTTCTTCCCCCCCCCTTTCTCTCCCTCCCTGAATTCCATTTCTTAAATTGGCAGCGCGGGTCCAAGCCTGTAGCCCCAAATCGGATAATCTCTGCAGCTGATAACAAGCAAAAGAGAAGCCAGGCAACAGCCATATTAAAGAAGAAAACAATCAACTCTGAGGTAGATATTTTACTTTGTGGTCTAATCACATTTGGAGATGATTATGCTTTTGATCTCTTAACTGTTTTACTCGAGTGATAGGAGTCAGGGGAGGGGAGGTGGAGGCGAATAAGATCGGATATGTTGTTTTCGTTTGCCCTGGGAAAGGTAAAGAAAGACAATAGTTGTCCTGAGTGAGAGAGGTAAAGTTGGGGGAAACATCATGGTCTTTGAATTAGCGATGCTTTGGCCCTAACAAGCAGCCGGCGCTTTGGCAAAGCCTGGGGGAACTGGTCAGGGACTTTTATTCTTTACTGCTTGCTTCGACCATCCTTCCCCGACCCAAAGGCACCAAGAACCAAGAGTTGGGCACTCTTAGGAGGGCAGACATATTTCTCACAATTTGCAGCAACTTGCAATTTGTCAACTTGGAGCAACTTCGGAGAAGTTGGAAGCCGCGGCTCTGGTGTAGAGTACCCGCCGGCACTACTGAGTTAGCTCATCTCGGTTTGCATCGTTTCCAAGAAAAGTCTCGAGGTGTTGCTAATGTGAGTTCTGGGATGGACCTAGGAAAACCAAACTCATTTTCTGTATTTGTGTTTATTCTGGATGGCTGTATTCTACATGTATATTGGTTTTTCGTCTTTATCTTCATTTCTAGAGTAATGCTGTATTGGCAAGGGGGAAGTTATTATTCGAGTTCCCGACTAGCCAAGCATTCCCCTCCCCTAATTAATGCAGAGACTCTAAAAGAATTTCCCCCGGCCTGGTCAGCCATTGTAATGCATATAGGGATTATTCACGTGATAATGAGCACATTCGCCCGATCTGGCTCACATTGACGAATAAAAGAAACTTTGAATAAAGATCCAAAAGAACCGAGCTTCCAGAGTGGGGAGGATATTTTTGGAATTTGAGCCAATCAATGATATAGAATTTGTATATTTGGAGTGGGGGGCGGACATAAAGCAGAAATATATACAGGTTAAAGTAACTTTTATTACTCTCCCCATTAAGAGAGCAAGGGGTGGGGGGGATCCGGCTAAAAAGCAACATTGTGACAAAATGCTCATTTTCAACTGTCTTATAAGAGGACGGAGCATAATATTTTGGGAAGCTGTATTAGGTTGAATGATTGTCTCTCTACTCCCAAAACAAGGGAATTTCTATTTCCCCTCCCGTCCCTCCATATCTCCAAACTAAACAGTTGAAGAGTATAGAGGTCAAAGTACTTGGTTTGCAAATATAAATGCCTTTGATAAACTACATCTGAAGAAAATGATACATACCTCTTTGCATCCTTTGATGAGTAAATAGTTTCCCAAGGTATGTCATTTCATGGCTAGATTAATATTGAGCATATAGTATTTTAACAGCATGATTTTCAAGGAGGGTAAGGCCATGAACTTGCCTGGAGACAGTTATCTCCTGGCACTGAAGATGGCTCTGCAGTGTTTTGTTCTTTTTTCTTGGGATATTGTTCTGCTCAATGAAACCTTAATTTTCAGTGAAAGGGGGTGAATTTAAATGTTTCCTTAACCTACACACAGAGTAGAAATGTGCAAAAGGATGAGATTATAGTCTATTCTCACTACATTTTTTTTCCTTCTCTGAGCACCCGCCCCCTCCATACTTTAAATAAAGAGCGTTAAAATATTTTGCTGAGCTGTAGTAGATTAGCAAGGCTGCTTTGCCAATACTGGGAAGCTGGTATTACAGACCATCCCAGGGGAGAATGGCTCACATTAACCACTAAATGAATATTTGACAAGGGCTCATTCGGAGGTATTATTACTATAAACGTGTCCCTACTGGACTTTTCAAGGGTCAAAGAGCAATGCTTCAATTAATTATTTAGACTGCTAGTAGATTTGGTTGTAATAGCTGTACTTATTTCTGGAAACCCACACATTCTTGCAGTAGGAAAATCTCAGGAGAGTTTTCCCCATCATCAGTATCATCTTAGATTAAAAAACAGCCCTAACACACATTGATGTTGGCTTTTTCATAAACCTCCTTTTTTTTTTTTTTGGCCTGGGGGAAGGAGTCACAGTTCCTTTTCTATTTCATGAACTAGGGGGGATTTTTTTTTATTGTTTGCTTAAAAGTAAAACAAGAACAAAATAACATCGTAATTTCTAGATCATATTTTGATTTAAAAGGAAAACAAGATTATAACTTAATTTCCATATCACACCTGGCAAGACCTTTCAGGGATTTGAAATATGGAGGGCAAGAAGAGGATGTTTACTTATAACGTTTTATCTTTTCTAAGTAGCAATGTCCCACGATTTTAGGGAACCAAGCAAGGCCCCGGATTTAGGCAGGAGAAGCATTTGTTTGCTCGTAAAATCCGGGGTTTCAAATAGAAGATTCTACAGGTGGAGTACCCTGAGTCATTGTGGCAAGAGTAGATCAGGGTGCTAAGTGGTCCCTCTACCCTTTTCCATCCATTGGTCTGAATACTGCAAGGTGTAATTGGTGGGGGGGGGGTGTGATTGTATTTCTGCTGTGTCATAAGTTCTTCCATGACCCTAGATAAAATGGTAAAATGTAAGGGAATGATTTTGAGAGTATGGTTTCTTGACAATAATATAAATTGAATGAATAAGAGATAAGCTGGGGTGGGGGAGCAGTAATTACAAACTCAATTCATTCAGCTTTTCAGAACTTTTGTTGTGGGAGCTCCATTGACGGGTTTTGAGCTGCCAGTTTTCTCACATTAAAAGGAACTGATCAGCGCCTCAGGGGGACAAGGAATACCGCTTAACTGCATGGTGATGGGGGTCTTCATTTAGAACCATTACAAGAAGAAAATTAAATAGTGCCTTTGTGTGTACAAGGTTTACTTTTCAACTGCTAATAGTTTATAGCTAACTGCTCTGAGATTGAAGTTTTACTGTGGTTTGATCGCCTGCTAGTTGACACTGCTTATTTATTTATTTATCTCTTGTAATTGAAAGAGCTTTACACACACACACACACACACACACACACACACACACACCTGTCTTCACGTCTTGCTCTTGGAGAGTTTTGAAAAACAAGTTCTCATATTTTTCTTTGTGGAAGAAGTTTCCTTTGGCCATAAGTTCATTTAGCAAAGACTTGAGTTCACCCCCCCACCCCCCCACACACACACATTCATTATTTGCATTTCTGTGGGTTTTCAGCGACTTTTCCTAGTTCTCAGAGGTAAGGTTTCTTTTCTGGCTGTAACTAGGGTTGGAGATGGGGATTGATTTAATATTCTTTGCTTTCTTTTCTTTCACCTAAGTTGGAAGGTGTCTGAGTGGATCTCCCTAGGAACTCTGTCTGTAAGGTGAATCCCTTCAAGAAGGGAGAAGGCGAGAACATTCTAACCTTTACTATGAAAATCTGGATTAAGTTCAAAGGAAGGTCTAGATAAGAAGCTGAGCATGCAGCATTCCAAAGACAGGGAAATTGCCCAAACCAGAGAAATGAGTTGGTATCTTTAATAGATTTGTTTTTTTTCCTGCTAAAAACTTCCCTGGAAACCTGAGGTCAGATAACCACCATCTTTCACTTCGGAGGGTACTGTCCAGTTTTTAAATTCTTGGTTTTTGTTTGTATATTTTGTTTCTGTGGCCTTTAGAAAATAATGAATTTGACTTTCTGGTTTTGATTGAAGGGACTTCTTTGGGGGAAGAATGGAAATAGATTCCTCACGACAGACAACTGTCTTTTTGTAGCCGTGTCCAGCTGGCTGTATTTTATTTTATATTTTAGTATAATGGTAATATTCTGATTCCTTGAGCGCTGTTCTCGGTCTCTTTGCAAAGCAAATAGAACGTCCTTTTATTTCGGACCGCAAAGCTATTTGCCGGTTCTTGGCATTTGGGCTACAGATGCTTGTGCGACTTTGTAAAGCAGTGTCAGGTGATAGCAAAGCTCACAGGAGGCCTGGCTTTGCATTACCCTGCCCGCCTGCTTGTGCAAAATGAAGTGGGCACTGTTTTGTAAAGATTGCAGCGTTTTGCGCCTCCTCTCCCGGCTTGGGTGCACGGCTGGGCTGGGCGCGCGCCGGCCTCCTGCGGGTGGCCCTCGGGAAGCGCGCCGCGTGCCCGGTGCCCAGCGGAGCCGCAGGCAGCTGGAGGCCGCCGTCGACAATCGCGCGGCCGGGAACCTGACG